TCCTAGGTATTTCATTTTTTTTGAAGCTACTATAAAGGGAATTGTGTCCTTGACTGATTTCTCAACTTAGCCATTATTGGCATATCGAAAGGCTACTAATTTGTGGGCACTGATTTTATGTCCTGAGTCATTACTGTATTTTTTATCACTTCCAAAAGTCTTGTGGTTGAGTTTTGGGGGTTCTCTAAGTATAAGAACATATTGTCAGCAAAGAGAGAGAGTTTGACAACCTCTGTCCCTATTTGGATGCCTTTTATTTCCTTCTCCTGCCTAATTGTATTTGGCTAGAACTTCTACCACTGTGTTGAATAGTAGTGGTGATAGAAGACAACCTTGTCTGGTTCCAGTTCTAAGTGGAAAAGCTTTCAGTTTTACTCCATTCTGTATAATATTAGCTGTGGGTTTATTGTAGATGGCTTCAATCAGTTTAAGAAATGTGCCACCTATGCCTTTGTTCTTCAGTGTTCTAATTAGAAAAGGATGCTGGATTTTATTGAATGCTTTTTCTGCATCTATTGAGAGGATCATATGATCTTTGTTTTGGCTTCTGCTGATACGGTGAATTACTTTTATGGACTTGCATATGTTAAACCAGCCTTGCATCCTGGGATGAAACCTACTTCATCATTATGTATGATTTTTTAAATGAGAAGCTGTAATCTGTTAGCTAGGATTTTGTTGCAAATTTTTACATCTATATTCATTAGTGAAATTGGTCTGAATTTCTCCTTTTTAGTTGGATCTTTTCCTGGTTTTGGTATCAGGGCAATGTTTGTTTCATAGAACATGTTGGAGAAGATTCCTCCTTTCTCAATTTTTTGGAATAATATCTGCAGTATGGGTATAAGCTCTTCTTTGAGGTTTTATAGAATTCTGGTGTGAAGCCATCTGGACCAGGGCATTTTTTGGTTGGGAGATTTTTTTATTGTTTCTTTGATCTCAGTGCTTAAAATTGTTCTGTTCAGGAGATCTATTTCTTCTTGGTTAAATCTAGGGAGAGTGTGTGATTCCAGGTATTGATCCATTTCCTACACATTATTAAATTTCTGGGCATAAAGTTTCTTGTAGTGTTCAAAGATAATCTCTTGTATTTTTGTGACATCTGTTGGTATTTATCCTTTATCATTTCAGAATGAGGTTAGTAGAGATTTCACTTTTCTGTTTCTAGTTAATCTGGCCAAAAGTTTATCAGTTTTATTTATTTATTAGAAAAATCAACTTTTTTATTAATTTTCTGAATAATTTTTTGTTTTTATTTTCATTAATCTCTGATTAAATTTTGGTTATTTCTTTTCTTCTGCTGGGTTTAACCTTAGACTGCTCTTCTTTTTCCAATTCCATAAGATGGTTCATGAGTTTGTTCATGCGCTCTCTTTCTGTTTACAAATGTGGGCATCTAATGTGATAAATTCCCCTCTTAGGATTCCTTTTGTTATATACCTCGGATTTTGATAACTTGTGTCTTTATTGTTGTTATGTTTGCAGAATTTAACAATTTCCACTTTTATCTGTTCCTAAACCCAACTATCATTTAGCATAAGGTTGTTTATTTTTCACTTTTTTTGTAGGGGTGAACATTTTGGTTGGAGTTGAGTTCCACATTTATTGTCTTGTGGTCTGAGAAGTTACAAAATATAATTTCTATTCTTTAAATTTTGCTGAGGGTTGATTTGTATCCTAGAATGTAATCTGTTTTCGAGTATGTTCCATGAACTGACAAGAAAAATGTGTATTCTTTAGTTATGGGATGGTGTGTTCTATACATGTCTATTAATCTCATTTGTTCTAGGGTCACATGTAAGTCTTTTTTTTATCTTTTTTTTTATTAAATCATATTTGTGCACATTAATACTATCATGGGATACAGTGTGTTGTTTCCATATACAATTTGAAAGACTTTCATCCAACTGGCCAACATAGCCTTCATGTCATTCTCATAATTGTTGTGTTAAGACATTTATATTTGGGCAGAGCCAAGATGGTGGACTGCAGCCAGCTTTTTACAGAAGCTCCCGTCCAGAAGGAGGCCTAAAGGACAGAAGTTTAGCAAGGGAACTGATGGTTTGGAGTGGAGCCAAGAGAGAAGATTGAAGAGCACACTTCAACCTTCCTGAGGCAAGCGGAGACCCCCAAAATACAATCAAAAGGTAGAAAATCCACCACCAAGCAGATGGGAGTCCCCTCTCTCACAACAAGGGCTCACAGTTTACTCCATGAAAACAAGTGAGTAGAGTTCAAACATCCTCCCACTCTATCCCACAGGAGAAACTTCCTAAAAACTGGACCTCCTACCCCTGCTGGCATGCCATGGCACCCTCCTGCCAGGCATAAAACTGTAAAACTGTATAAAACTGTATATATTCCCCACCTGCAACATTGAACTCCAAGGAATGCACCCCCCTCACCCTGAGGTCTGGAGATTTGTTACCTACAGAGTCCAGAATCTTGGGCATCTCCTTGAGGGAAGTAGAGGGGGAAAGGGCTGGTGCTGCTCTGTGCTGACTGTGGCACAGAAGTGAGGAGAAGAAAGTTGGCTCACAGGAAGCCATACAGCAACAGTGTAATCCTGAGCTGCAAACTGATGTCATTTGAGATAGGTGAGCCCCATCTTTCTGGGGAACCAGAGGTTCCAGACAGCATCCACAGGCTGAACAGATTTGGTAACTTTCGTAAGTAAAAAGACCCTTAGGACTAGCCCTCAGGAGAAAATCTGAGACAAAGGCACTGGGTGGGGGGGCAGACACTGGAATTGACACTTGAGTGTAAACTCTAACTTGCTTGCTGCCCAGAGCTGAGTTCTTCACCAGCTTTAGCAGCCTCTTACTTGGTGTGAGGCTGTAACGGCAAGAACTTTCAAAGCCTCAATTCTTCCCCTGCTGTACTGGACTCAGATTTCTCAACAAGCACCTCGCCCTCAGGAGAATGCTGAGACAAAGGCAGTGGGAAGGCAGAGGCAGGGATTTGACACCTGAGTGTAAATTCTAATTGTTTACTGCCCAGAGTTGAGTCCCTCATCAGCTCTACAAGCCTCTGACTTGGCAGAAGAATCTAGCCTGGACAGAAATGAGAAGCTGGAATTAAGAGAACGGCCTAATTTAAACACGCAAGGCCCCCCTGCTGGACACAGATTTCTGGGTGATTTTGGTAATCATAAACCCTGGGAGCAATTGCCTACTGGAGTGAATAGGGTCACGGACCAGGGGGGATTACGAGTGAATGGGTACAAGGTGGGGAAGGAGGTATTAACCTTCCCAGACTAACCCATTTGCTGGGTGGGTCCCTTTGCCCTCACGGAGCACTGGAGCAAGTTACATCCAAGCCACAAGCAGACTCCTCTTATCTAGCTGCTGGAAACATTTGAACTTTTCCACCTGAAATGGGTGCTGACTGGGACAAATGATTTGGATCCCTTAAACCAGGCAGACCACCCAGGGACTATTCAAAGGGGCATGTTGGATGTATGGTTGAGGGAAGGTTTGATTTTCCTTGCCCAATTGTTATTTGTGGGGGGCAGGGCAACATAATTGCTGGTACTTCTCCAAAGCAGAGACTTCAAGAGAAACTGAATCACAAGAGTAGGACAGAGACCAGCTGCAAATAAGACAGAGACACTTAGCCCCACCACACCAGGCAGGTCCCCAGTCTTTTAAGCCATAACACCATACGGGTCCTTGACAAACCTCAAAGAGAAAAGCCAAACAGGGTAAAATAATCATGGGGCAGAATCAGCAGAAAAGCTCTGGTAATATGAATAACCAGAGTAGATCAACCTTCCTTCTCCCAAGAAAGGATGTGGCTGGTAATATGAATAATCAGAGTAGGTCAACCCCCCCCCCAAGAAAGGATGTGGCTGATGAAACTGAAGATCCCCTATATAAACAGATGGCTGAGATGTCAGAAATTAAATTCAGAATTTGGTTTGCAAATAAGATTAATAGAATAGAGGCAAAGATAGAACTAGAAATTCAAGGAGCATTCCAAAAGTTCACTCAAGAATTCAATGAATTCAAAGACAAAACCACCAAAGATTTTGAAACATTAAGGCAAGAGATTGCAGCCCTTAGAGATCTGAAAAATATGGTAGAATCTCTTGGTAACAGAGTGCAAGAGGCAGAAGAAAGGACCTCAGACATAGAAGACAAAGCTTCTGAATATGTCCAAACATCCAAGGAGAATCAGAAATGGAAAGCAAAAATGGATCATTCTCTTACAGAGCTCTAGAATAATTCAAAGAAAACTAATATTCACCTCATAGGAATCCCTCAAGGCAACAAAATTGCTTTGCAAAACACAGAGGTTCTTCTGTATGAAATTATGAAAGAGAACTTTCCAGATATGTCAAGAGATCCTGAAATTCAGATTTCAGACAGCTTCAGAACCCCAGCATGACTCAACCCAAGTATGACATCCCTCAGACACATCATAATTAACTTCACTAAAGTGAATATGAAAGAGAAAATCTTGAAAGCAGCGAGACACAAGAAAACCATAACCTACAAGGGGAAGAATATTAGAATAACTGGAGAACTCTCTGTTGAAAACTTTCAGGCAAAAAGAGGGTGGTCATCGACATTTAATCTCTTAAAACAAAATAACTTTCAGCCCAGGATCCTGTATCCAGCTAAACTGAGTTTCATTTATGGTGGAGAAATTAAATACTTTAATGACATTCATGCATTGAAGAAATCTGCCATAACTAAACCAGCTCTCCGGGATATTCTCAGACCTATTCTCCATAAAGACCACTGCAATCCTACACCACAAAAATAAACTCACTCAGAAACTATTGATCAAACTCCAACTTCTGCAGTGGTAAAAGACTAAAAATTGTACACTGGGCTTTTGAACAACTCGATAACTAAAATTTTATCAGGCTTATCAATAATTTCTATCAATGTGAATGGCTTAAATTGTCATCTAAAGAGGCACAGATTGGCTGATTGGATGCAGAAACTCAGACCAGACATCTGTTGTACATCTTACCTTTTTTTTTTTTTTTTTAAATGAGAAAAGTCATTTATTTTTCTAGCAGTAAGTTTTTACAGAGAATTTTTTATAAAGCTATTAAATAAGTCATAATGGAAGGTATAGCATTTTATTAGTTTTTACTTAGGAAGCAAAACTTTCACTTTATCCCAATATTTTCTTCAGAGGTAGCCTTTGTTTTTATTTCAATGAGTTCTTCTACTCGAGCCAGGACACTTTCAATCAAATCAAATGTGAAAAGAGCTGAATGTAGGACCTTAAGTTGCATTTCAGGAGGCATCTTAGGGAGATCCTCTCCACCTATGGTTATAGAACAAAGGTCTTCAGACTTCTGGACTTCTTGGCTCTTTTCTTGGTTCTTTTTAATTTCTGCTTCATAATGTGCTTTTGACATATTCAGTCCTGTATGGAGAGACTTTAGGAAATTATTCTCAATCTTCCTGAGTTCTGTCCATAATCCAGTTTGATTGTCATTTTCATTATCTTTGATAACCAAGTACCTCAATAAATTTAATGAAGCCATAATCCTATCTGAGTTTTGCAATAAATCTGTTTCAGCACCATCTGGGAGAGAGAGTACCAAATCTAGAAGGGAAATCAGCTGTGGTCCTGTAAACCATTTGTTGTTATATGTTCTCTTTAATGATGTGTCAATTTGATTTTTGATATTTTGAATAATAAAGGCCTCGACACCTGAGTGATTACTTGTATTCAATAAGCACCTAAATAACGTATATTTGCCTTGTGAATCCAACTTGTTAATGTACAGCTGCAGCATAGCTAAACTCTTTTTCCTCAATGTCTCAATGGGGCAAAGTGTCATTACTTTAACCAAGCCCTGAGGTACAGCAAGAAAACTCTTGATTTCTAAGTAGTGGTAAAGTAGACTGTTGTCTTCTATTCGCAATAAACCGTTCTCTAGCAGATCCAATCCTTTGGGGAAAACAGACTCTTCCGTTCTCTGCAAGAAGACATCAATATGCCCCATATTAAACTGCAAAAGGTACAACGGGCTTAAGACCATTGGAAGCTGATCAATACTGATGCCCTGTACAAATACTAGATAGGCCAGAGAAGCCATAGAGTCTGCTAACTGTTTGTCTTCTTCTTCCTCAAATTCAAGGTAATCCCAAGTCCTCTTTTTCCTTCCATGATTAAAAATCATTTTGGAGAAAGGATGTCCAATTGCTGATAAAAAGCATATTATTTCAGATCCAAAACATCTGAAACGATCATTTCCAGCTTCAGACTGTTCGAGGAACTGTGCTTTCAGCAAAGGGCATTTCAAGCTTTTGAAACAGAATTTTAGTAATTCATCCTTTAACTTTTCATTCTCCAGTGAGTTTTCTTTGTCCTCAATGACTTCTTCCACAAAAGGCTTTGTGAACTCTATTAAGGCCTTGCAACACTGACAAAGCCCATACTCATCTGTTTGTACATGTTCCTTTAAATATGGAACAGGAAGAAGAGACAGCTGACTCCAG